TATAAGTTTTTGTGTTCCTGATTATTCCAGTTGCTTCTCAGCAATCGTGGCGCGACCGTGAGCGACATCTAGTCGTCTTGCGGTGCGATTTCATTTTAATTGGGCGACATCTAGTCGACCCACGACATGCTTAACGGATAAATTAAAAACGCATTTTTGAACAAAAAAGCATCGCTGCACAGGCGCATATAATATGCATGCATAATTCGACATAATTAATTAAAATGTAGGTTTGAGGCGGACTAAAGATCCGCCGTGATGATATCTCCTAAAAAGGTAAACATATGTGAGCGGAGTACAGGTATGCAAATTTGTTCATGTAGTGTACACATGATCACTGCTGGAGGATTATTCAAGAATTTTGGAAAAATGCCAAAATGGTTAGCTTCATTTTTTGTTATAGAGAGAGCAACACTTCTATAACCAAAGTTCAAATGAACCCTCTCTACAAAAGAATTCAAGGGAAACAGAAAAAATATTTGCTGAAGAAACTAATTTGTCATACAAAAACCCATGTAATACATGGAGAGAACCTTGTGAGGGAGAAATTCAAGAGAAAATTGTTGAAACGATGACATTAAATGAAATGTACATCTGCACTGCTTTCCCGGCTGTTGGAAAGTTTGTCTGGAAATTCTTTGGTTATTTTATTTGGAGTCCTCAAGGGAAAAAGCTCCAAAAATACAAGAAAATTCAGTTTATGTTCATTAAATGGGCTTGAAATTTGCATTCACCCTTGATTTTTTTCTACAGCACCAGCGTTTTGAAATGACTCACAGTGGGAAAATTCATAGCCAGGATTTTTCGGTACCACCAAGAATCTTACACAGCACACAAAATAACTACGAATTTCCTGTTGAATGACCACGAATAACTTGAATATCATTCACAATGAAGACGGCTAGGTAAACATGCGAATTCCTACAGTTGAACTAGAAATAAATCAAAATGACACGCGTTAGCAAACTGTGCATCGTTTTACTCAGAGTAAAGAATAATATTCTTTATCCAGCAACAAGGTACAAAACGTTCCATGAGAACACTTGTAACAACCTCTGCAAACAAGCTGGTGCAAAAAAATGTCTTTTTGCCCGGCAGAACTCATCGCTCATCAGTAAAACAAATGCCACGTAGAAAAAAAAGATAAAAATCCAGAAAGATCCGCGGTTACGTCATTGAGTCACAGAAAAAACAACAGGCCATTAAAAATCCCGATCGGAAGCAATGAGTTCTCCGCGCACTTTCGTGGAATGCTCTCCACTCAAAAAAAGTCAATAAAATCCTCTTAAAATACAATAACATATAAAATGTCGCTTGGACGGCGTAGTTTCACCTCAAAATGACGGGGCTGCTGGATTCAGCCATACACTCACTACCATACAGTAACACACTGATGTAAAATTTGGACGCTATGAACTCGCTGACACAGAACTTGATCCTTTTCGATTGTCTCACATTATGTCTGTGGACATAGAAACGTTATGTGCTGGAGGCTGTGACGTTTGCGGTGTCACATCCCTTGGTGTGATCGGCCTGGAACTCGGCACCGAACCAGCAATGCTCAGTGATATGGACTGATTCGCGTAGGAGGTATTCAGTGAGCTGATTGTGCTCCTCTGTTTACGAAACAATAGTCGCCATTGAAATGTTACACGCCAAGAAAGAAAACTAGCTTGTTCTTACCTTAAGCTTCGCAACATCCTCCAATCTCGTCAGATCTCTGAGATCCATGTGCTGGGAGTAGACCACGATCCAGCCCACCGCACTGGCCAGGATGAACAAGACCCAGAGCACACACATGGTTCGGTGGTACGAAAATATCATGTCATTCACCACCGATGCGTACATAGTAGCGAAGAGCCGCCATCCGATGAATCCCAGCATGCAGAAGAGCCACGGGATCATTTTCAGCTCTTCCTCCTACACAGAATTACACTTTCAAATCTGAATAATTTAAAATCTCTGAAGTGATAGAAACCTTTCTCAAAGCTGCGAGCAGGATGACGGTTGTAACAAACAGAGCCGCGCCGAGCAACAGGCTGAACAGGGCAAACACGATAAGGCTGTTCCGAACTACAAAATAAGAGCAACGTCAAGAAATTTCGCTCCACAGTTGATCATAATTTGCAACTCACCGTTCGGATTGCCAGCATAGACGAACTCAAAGCTGATAATGTAGTAACCATAGTGACTTGTCCCGGGTTCGGCCATTGCCAAGCAGTAGATGTCGAAAATGGCAGTAGCCACCGTGAACATGCTCAAAAACTATCGAAAAATGGTACTGAATTCATAAAATTCCACCAGCGTATGTATGTCAGAAATCCGACAGCTAACCAGGGAAAATAAGCCCATGATCCAAGCGCCTTTCTGCAAATCGAAGATGTCAGGGTCAATCAAGGGCCGTTTCCATTTGTCCAACTTAGAAGATTTGACTGTCCTGCTGCTCCTCGTTGAATATAGAGAGTGCAAACTCTGGGTCCCGATTGTGGAAATCGAGTGTCGCGACGGGGCATGGCCATGAGAAAGCGGCATCTTTCAACACACTGCTATCTGCTGAAAAATGATTCATAATTCAAGGAACCAGACCTATAACAATTCTCATGCGCCGGAAAACCGAAAATACCGTAAAATGTGAGAACACGATGCGTCAGAAATATCACGACCCTTCCCGGCATGTCCGAGATAAACTGACTTCGGAAAATCTTTCTACAAAGCACTCCTCAAACATAACTGGCTTTTCTTACACATCTTCCGGCAACAGAATCATCTAAAAAATCGAAGGGCTGCCAACATCCCAGAGGTTCGTCGGCAAGGTAAAGAGAAAATGGAACGTTTCTGCAATGCTTTCGTCATCAACACCTTGATAATGTGTATGCAGGATTTCTTCAAAAATGCAGGCTAGCATACACTGAACGATCATGTTTCACATTAACGATGAGGTACCTCATACCACTGACTATAACACTCGCTAGAATACCCCTACCTGTGGTGAGCACCTCCTTCCTCGACGGAACCTGAATTCCTGACACAACATTGTGGTACAACTTCCACTCAACGCCGCTCCATTCAATGCTCTTCCACGCCACCCCTAGGAGCACCAGCCTCTCATTGAGTGACTTTGACTGCAATGCTTTGGCGGCGTAAAATGTAAACAGAGACACATTTTTTAAATAAATAAAAATATATATGGTAATTTCCTGTTATCTCTGTACCTCATTCCTAGACCACACTACCATCCAGAAAAATCTTTAGGACAAGTTCATAATCAGAACAACCTACCAGAAACTGTGAATTTTATTTTTCCACATACTGCTGAAACTGACTTTGGGAGGTGGTTAGGTAAAGTTAGGTTAGGTCAGGTTATGTTAATTAAAAGATATTTGTAACTAACATAACATAACCTGAAATCAGTTTCTGCAGAAATCATTTTCAGCAGAAACCCAAAGAAAGCAGAAACTGATTTTGGGAGGTGGTTATAGCTGAAGTTAGGTTAGGTCAGTTCAAATTGGTCAGAGGAAAGGTACAAAGATAATAGGGAAGTACCAAATGTATTATCTATGAATCAAATGGGCATTGCACTCTTGTTGTTAAATTTCTAATTGCTTTTTGCATTTAAATGCATGAATAACTTACTCTAACGCACAGATTCATCAGAAAACAAGTCATGTATTCAAATTTATTGCTACAGTATTGAGCCTTTGGAGTGGTGTCATATTCAAGAAATTAATTCTCAGGAAAATAATTCTTTTCTGGCCATGTTTGGAAGTTATTTGCACAAATCAGTGGTAGTAATGGAATACCTTTGAATGTGCTAATGGGGGGCCATTTTTGGCCCCAAATAAATACTACTCATAAAATAACAAGAATTAAACAATACAAATGCTGCAAGTTCATGTATTGAATACTGTAGTATGTTATCTTCCTTCACCATTCTTCAACATGTAATTCCTAACTGCAAGCATGCGCAATTCATAAAGTCACTCATTCATAGCATTGAGGGATGGAGTCGAAGGGAACATCCCTCTAGGAAGGCAGCATGGAAGTGAGTGGCGAACGTATTCGGCCGCACAGAGAAGCGGACATACTTATTTTGAAAGAGCAGCGTTCCAGGTGAAAATATTTTATCAAAGCAAGTTCAGGAAAACAACAAAAACTTGAGAATTCTGTGATGTATTTTGCAGTGAGTCTTTTCTCGTGATATTTCGTTTTCTTAAAAATAAATTAATATGAGGTAAGATAAGCGTTCGCTTCTTTGACTCAAAAGTTCCATTACATTTCATTTCGGTTTTCAGATATCCTCCGATCCTATCAATATGGCGACGTGCTAGGTCGACCATCAGAAGGATAGGGTGTGTGCCAACGCTGTAATTTTGGTAGTGGTTAAGTTTTTTGAAGGATGGCCACACCGAATCGCCCTAAGTCTCCGCGTCCTGGAACACCAAAGAGTGATCGAGAAGAATCTTTCTGGGAGAAAATTGGAACGCTCGGAAGGAAGAAAAGCAAAGGAAAAGACCGTACGTAACTTCGCTTCTTACGTCAGCACACCTGTTCATTTACGCTTCTGTTCCTTTAGCTCACGAAATTGAAGAGGAAGGGAAGTATGCCCTCGACTCTGCGGCTACTCCAGTTGGACGTGACTGGTCCCCTGAAGACTATGAACTTGGTAATGTCGTAATGGAATGTTCTGCTCGATACTTGTGGTGAACGAATTATATTTTCAGACGAAAATGAAGAACGCTCCATGATCGAGCCTCATTCGCGGGACGATCATCGGTTGAAAGAACTGTGCGACGTCTTGATCGAGTGGATCAACGATGAGCTTGCACCACACCGTATTATAGTGCAGGATGTCGAAGAGGATCTGTACGATGGCCAAGTTTTCCAAAAACTTCTCGGTAAGTTTCAAATTTTCGATACTTGATCCGATGAATTTATGATGGCTTCATCTAAACTTATGCCGGACTATATCCCGGAAGGGAATATTATATCTGTGAAAGACCCTGTAAAAAGTAGGGTTTTCGGACTACCGTAGTTTTGCGTGTGATGGATTTCGATTTTTTTAAATCTGGGATTGTCTTTGTATTTTAAGAATTCTTTTCGTAATTACGCTGAGACTTCTGTTTTCTTTATCTTTTCGCGATGTTCATTCAGTGTTTGTCCTTCTAACTGCGTTATTTGCTTACAGAAAAACTTTCAAACGTGAAGCTAGATTGCCCGGAGGTGACGCAATCCGAAGAAGGCCAGAAGCACAAACTTCGCGTTATTCTCTCTGCTGCCAACAAGATCCTGGGCATGCCAAGAGGTGCCAATCACAAATGGAGCGTCGAAAGGATTCATTCGAAAAATCTCGTCTCCATTCTTCATCTCCTTGTCGCACTCGTCCGCCATTTCCGAGCTCCAGTGAAACTCCCGGAGAACGTCGTCGTCAACATACTTGTTGTTCGGGTACGTGCGTGGGGTAAATTTCCTTGGGTGCATTGTTTCTGATTTTATTGATTTTCAGAAAAAAGATGGCATTCTGGTGCATGAAATCATTGCTGAAGAGATTACCGCTCGATATGACGACCTGGGTATGAGAGGTGAACGTGACGCGTTCGACACTTTATTCGACCACGCACCGGATAAACTGGTGGTCGTAAAAAAGGTACTGCAGTGAAGAAAAAAAAAATTTACTCTGTAATAGAAGGCAGTTGTCTCACGTCTAGACTCATGAAAACTCCAATATTGCTTGATGTCGTGCCTCGGGAGAATTCAAGTATAGAAATTTGATTCTAAAGCGAAGTTTTTAAAACATTTCGTTGATTCGGCACGCATGTTTTTTGCGTGTCAATTACTGAATTAGTGTTTCACAGGACGCGAGGATTTTTTCGAAGAAGAATGTTTTGATCTTCTTTCGTTCCTTCACAGTCGCTGATCGCATTTGTCAACAAGCATTTGAACCGCATAGACATGGAGTTGACTGATCTGGAAGGACAGCTGAGTGACGGAGTATTTCTCGTCTTGCTGATGGGTTTGCTGGAGAACTATTTCATACCCTTGTTCGCCTTCAACATTTCCCCTCAAACCTTCGATCAGAAAGTGCACAATGTCGCCTTCGCGTTTGAGCTAATGCAAGATGCTGGCTTGCCAAAGCCAAAATCTCGTCCTGAAGGTAATTGTTTGTGAATTGAGAAAAAAAACGAAATTTTTTAATGGGACGATTTTGGAACTTTCACTGAAGGAATGTTCAGCGAGTGACGAAACAGAGATTGATATGGTGGGGCCCCGAGATGCGGACGTAATTGGTGCTCAGACGTTTTCCCTACGCTGGAATATCCACATGTTGGATCACATTAACGATCGATTTCAATGGAAAAATATTTGATCAGTTCCCTGATTTATGTGGAATTGGGAATAAGTTCCCCGAAAAATGGAATTTCTTTTTTTGTCAACTTCGAAATTCTAAAATAACTGTGCAGAACAAAACCGAACAGAATATTTGTTTTTTGCATGAAACGGAGCCCAAATGCAAAGAAGCACAAGTCTTCCTATACAGTATTTTGTACAGATGATGGAAAATGCTCTGGAAAAAGAAGCACGAAATTAGCATGGTTTTGATCATGAAATAGAGTAAATTTACCATAAAATTTCTTTTCATTTTTAAACGTGAAAATATCTCAATTTGTTCAAGATTGTTCGAGATTGTTCAAGATTGGAAAACTTATAAAAAAAAAAAAAATTTTTCAGTTTTTCTAGATGTATTGGAAAACTGACCGCGTCTCGAGACGTTGTCCAGATGTCGCGGCATATTTTTTGATTTTCCAGTGTCCCTAAGTCGAATCGTCCATATGTGAGGTCCCCACTTGTATAACAATTGAATTAAAAATTCCTGAGGACCCAGTCACTGAACGTGAATTCAGCAGTAATCTGATGAGTTGATATCCTTGAGCTCTTGTCGAAAGAATCGAGTTACTGTATACAGTAGTTTAATTTGACATCGAACTTCGCAATGTTTTTTCAGATATCGTGAATGGAGACGTGAAGTCGACCCTGAGGGTCGTCTACAACCTGTTCTCCAAATACAAAGGAGTGGCTTGAAAACTGCTGGACACCAAGAACGAACTCCGTGGAATTTTTTTTTTTTTTTACTAGCAGTCGGAGTGTGTGTGGTGCTTCTTCGCGAGTGCCTCGTGCTTCCCTAATCCCAGTCCGTCTCGTTTTTAAAAATTTGCAATGGTGCTAAGTTAACGTGTGGCTGAGATGACGCGGAAGATTCGGAAGAAAGACGCTATTTTATACCCCCATAATGCCCGTAATTGTGTTTGTCGAAGAAAGTATTAAAGATTGCTTACACAAGCTACGCAAATTTTTATTTTCATTTTTTGGTATTGAACCCGTAGTGAGATGGACATCGGAAAAGCAAGTGTCAAAATAGAAAAATTAAATAAATTTAGGTTTCGGCTGTTCATACGAGGTGTTTTTTTTCCACATTTGCTATGATTTAAATGCTCTTTTTGAAACATAATCAATAATCACATTATTCCGAACGATTCTCGGAATCATTTTCCGACCGTTTCCAATCGAAAGAAATCTCAACTTACCTGATTTTTGTTTCTTCTCGAAATATTTATTTACTCGATTGATCTTGTGTCATACTTTACACGCAAGTCTCAGTGCGATCAAGTGTCTCGAGAAATTCACTAATTTTTATTTTCAGTGATCCCCAAAAACGAAAAAAAAAATTTTTCCGACCTGTATTTTGTGTTCAGAAGTTTAAATTTCGAACTCAAAGATGAGGAAAGGTTGAAATTCGTTTCCGTGCAATGACCGAATTTTGAATGATTTTTGAAATCCTTTCCTGTCTTCTGCGAATTAAAAATGTCTCAATTTACCTGATCTTGCTGCTTTGTACAATTGTTGGGTGACTCAAATGATCTTGTATCGTAATTTTGCAGCGATCAAGTTTCACGAGAAATTGACCAAACTTTTCATCAGTAAGGTCTAAAAAATATATTTTCAAGCTGTATTTTGTGTTCAGAAGTTGAAAACTTTGTGGTCGAAGATGAGATAAGATGAAACTTGTGTTAGTTAAATGACCGAACATTTTTTCATCAATCTGGGAATGGGTTAACATATCATGAGAGACTTTAGCGGAAAGGTTTGAAAAGTTATGAGTGTCTAAAAAATATTTTTAAACTACGCTAAAAAAAATTGACGCCTTATTTAATTTTTTTTTGTACGATTGCTGTTTTTGATGTCTTCTCTTCAACGTCCTCTCCGTTTTGTTACCGCGACATTTGTGCACGTGCTCTTTTGAGATTCGCTCTTTCGTGGCGTGCACAATCTTCCTTCAGGTTCGTCATGCGTTCATTAATAGACGTGCTGTGTGCTTTGATTGTGCTTGCTGTGACTGACATTGTTGCTGTTGATGTGCGACCTCACATCATCGTTATCCTAGCTGATGACTTGGTGAGAAAGTGTGGCGAAGAATTAACGACAATAATTTAGTCGCAATTGTTCTTTTTTTTTCTTTTTGAATCGCAGGGTTTCAACGACCTCAGCTTTCGCGGAGGATCACAGATCCCTACCCCGAATATTGATTCCCTGGCGTACAGCGGGATAATTCTCAATAACTACTATGTCCAGCCAATGTGCACGCCTTCGAGAGCAGCCTTACTGACTGGGAAATATCCGGTTCATACTGGTGAATGCAATTCTTTCATTTGAAGTACAGTGAGACCCTCAGATGCAAATGTAATTGGTGCATCAAGAGTGTCTCTAAGTTGAATTGTCCCAAAGTCAAGTCTTGTTTTCCCGTAGACTTACATTATAAACCTTTTTATTGGTGTTTTGTGGAAGAAATATTCTTCAGAATTCCATGAAAAAAAAATATATTGCCACTTGAATTTGATTCAGTGAATATGTTTTCAATTCAATAATAATATTTGGAGCATTGAATAGTATACCACTGTACTGTATATTGAAAAGTTGGCATCTACAAAAATAATATTCAAGTCCAAAAGAGAGAAGGAAGTCCCTTTATGCAATAGGACATTGTTTTAATTATCTGAATGGATGGGAAAATTATGAGAGAAATGACAAAGAATTTTTCTGGCATAAATCATAGGGTTGGAAGTATCTGTTTCTTGCAATCAAGCCAAAAATTCAATATTAACATCAACATAACAATATCAACCTAACATATTTTATTTTTTAATGGCTTTCTTTATGCTTTTATAATTTATTTTGAGAAATATGTAGAAATATCTGCAGCCACAGGCTGTTTTCTTTATGTATTTTTTTTTGCTTGTACTAGAATAAATTACTCTTTCAAACGCGGAATTCAGACCCTCTATTATTTTTTAGGCTGATTTTGAGCATTGAAATACTGCATTTTTGTATTGATAGAAATTTGTAAAAATTGTGTATCTTTAATGTGTACTGTTGTTGAATAGTTTTTTTGTTTGGTTTTGCACAGGAATGCAGAGTTACGTGATTGTGAATGGCGAGCCCTGGGGCCTTGGGTTGGAAGAAAAAGTGTTGCCAGAGTACCTGAGAGACCTTGGTTACCAAACCCGCGCTGTGGGGAAGTGGCACCTGGGCTTCCATTGCCCTGAACACACCCCTACTCACAGAGGGTTTGAGTCACACTTCGGCTACTGGGGAAGCCATGAAGACTACTACAATCACTCTGCCCCAGATAAAGACTATCCTGTGAGGATATATAATATATATATGAATATAAATTCATATACCGTATTTACTCGAGTACCACGTGCACCTTTTTTCTCGAATTTCAGAAGAAAAAAAGGGGTGCGCATTGTAAGCGGGTACAAAATTTTCAAGAAGTTTTTGGAAGTTATGTGTGCATTATACTTAATTATAATGGAGAAATTTGGAACAAATATAAGAAGAAAACATTTTTGTACTGAAAAAGTTGCAAATTGATTAAAGTTTTGTTCAATTCATGCCCAAAGTCAAATTTTTTGTTTGTATTTTTTGAAATTTTATGGTTTTAGATTCACTAAAAATTGGGGTGCACGTCATACTTGGGGATAAGATTTTTGCAAAATTTTCAACTGAAAAACCCCTGTGCGTGCCTTACTTGAGGGCGCATGGTACTCAAGTAAATACGGTATATGCATTTTTTTCTTTTGCTCTTCAATTCTTCATTGGTGTCTAATAAATGTTTCATTGGCAATTCAGCTACAGAAGGAAACAATAAGAACAAGACCTGGATCACTGTGTATGCCCTCCACTGAAGTGCACTGAAGTTAAGTTTACCACATAACCCCCACTGTCATAGAGCATGTAAGTGCGCATTCAGCTGCTCTTGATCAATTAAAATGCACTTCAGTGGAGAGGATTCACTGTGATCCAGGTCTTTCTCTGGTTTCCTTCTGTAGCTGAGTGGTGTATTAAAAATTCATTAGACACCTATGAAGGATTGAAAAGAGCAAAAGAAAAAATTGCAACTGCATCCAATGATGGCAATTGGCAGTTTATCATTTTTTATGAACCAACCCTTGTATATACACATAATTTGGAGAAATAACAAATTCCTGCTAGGTTTTGATTTCATAGTTCCAGGGCAATGTTCCCCAACCTGTTGGTCTGCAGGAAATTTTCTTCTGCATAATAAATGTATTAAAAGTAGCAATGAAGTCTGTTAGCTTCATCTGAAATTTATGAAAGACAATGGCAGTTGAAATTATCTGTTGAAAAGTGAAAGTTGGCTTTTCTCTTAATAATGCTGCAGACAAATTTTCCCCTGCTGAAATAAATTATTTCAAATTTAAATTCTGAGGAATCTTTCTTGAAGCCCACGTTCCTGATTTTTTTAAAGAAAATTCCTCAATAGCTGCTTCATTGATACTTGACTTAGTGTTTTGCAAAAAAGCAGATCAATTTTACGTACATGTTATGTAGTCTTTCAAACAAATTTTTTCTGAGTCCACTCAAATTTAAGGAAACTTTGCCTGTTTGCAGAACATTTTTTGGGAAATTGCTGGTCCACAGCAGGCCTGAAAAGGTTGAAGAACACTGTTCTAGAGCCAAGTTAGGATGTATTAGTTCAGTGTAAATTTTCATAATTTCAAAGACAGAGCTCATTAATCAAAATTGTTTTTTAAATGTTTATAGAAGCAGCAGAGAGAGAGAGAGATGGCTTCAGGCAGGAAGTATTCAACCGAACGCAAAAGAAAGCCGTTTTTTAAAGGTATATATTAATATTATTATAATGCAGTTTTATTACATTCTAGGTTGGCTATGACTTGAGGAGAAACATGGATGACGTGAGCCGACATCATTTGGGGGAATACGCAACTGACTTGTTCACCCAAGAAGCAGTAGATGTCATCCTTTCACATGATAAAGCGACTCCATTGTTCCTTTATTTGGCTCATTTGGCACCTCATGCTGGTTCTCCAGAATCTCTGCAAGCCCCAGAAGACTTGGTGGGAAAATTTGATTTCATCAAGGATGAGAAGAGGAAGAAATATGCTGGTTTGCAACTCATTTGATCATTGAAAGAAAAAATGTTCTTACTTCACAGCATTATGTTCCCCAACTGTTTGGGCCCATGGACCAGCAAATTTCTGTACAAATTTTCATTTGTGGACCAGGAAATTTTCCAAAAATCTTCTACAAACTGGCCAAGTTTCCTAAAATTTTTGCAGACACATAAAAAGTTCTGTTTGAAATACTTTTTAGCAGGTACTTGAATTTTTTTTGCAAAACTTATGTTAAAAACCAATGATGAAGCAGCTATAGTGGAATGTCTTTGTAAAATTACTAAATTAGAAAGGTGGGCTTGAAAGGTTTCTCAGAATGAAGGATTACAATAATTTATTTTTGGCAGGTGAAAATTTGTCTGAAGCATTATTAGGATGAATGACAATTTTTATTTTTCATTGGATGATTTGAACTGCAATTCTCTGTCTAAAATTCCAGATATAATGGGTTGGGAAACAGTGCTTTACAGTATTCGTAAATTTGAAGATTCATCCTAAAAAGATTTTTTTGGAAGTGTCAGCCATCTTTCTTGGATATTGCTGTTGATGCATTTCTTTAATTTTGTTCTTCAGCTATGCTGACCAAGCTAGACCAGAGCATTGGTCTGACAATACAAGCACTTGAAGAAGCCAAAATGCTGGAAAACTCTGTGATACTCTTCTCTACTGACAATGGTGGAACGCGGAGTGTCAATGAAGGCAGTGCTGGATCAAATTTCCCTCTGAGAGCTGTGAGTTTTCTTTTGACTTTTTAAATCAATATTCCCTTTTGTCTCAATCTGGGGAAACAATCTGATTAACGTACTTTATAAGGCAGATTTCAAACTTAGTTGATTATAGGTATGAACCTCTTGCTGCTGCCAAACCGTATTTCAGTTCAAAAATTATGCAGCATAATTGCAACCTATGTAACCTGCTTTTAAATTAAGCAAACCACCTTAATCTTGGTTTTTAGTAAACCCCAACTGGGCAACCTTGTTTGTTGAGAAACTTTTGATCTATGATTTCATTTAATCCAGTTGCAATCAACTGAAAGAGTCTGCATTCCTTTCATCCTTATTTTTGTAAATTGGTGTTTTCTAGGTAATATTGTTCACTTAATCATGATCAAATTATCTTTTCTTGTTCTTTTTGTGATTATTTGTGAAGTGTTAGCATTTTGTTGAAAATGTGCTTTTCAGTCACCCTCAAAAGCACAATTTCTGACCAAAAAATAGCGGTTAATTTGTTCTGACAGTCATCAGTATTGTAGCATTGAGCTCACCTCTGAGTAAAAAATAAATTTTATTTGATCAATAGCATATTCTTTTTTTAACATGGAATAAATTTGTATTTCCTAGGAAAAAGGGACAGTGTTTGAAGGTGGAACAAGAGCAAATGGAATTCTTTGGAGCCCCATGTTGAAAAAGAAGAACAGAGTTTCCAACCAGTTACTTCACATAACTGATTGGTTACCTACACTCTTCTCAGTGGCAGGTGAAAAGAGAGAGAGAGAGAAAAAACATGTCCAATGAATTCTTTTGTCCCAATTTCAAAATACTTTAAAAAATTCAGGAGGGCAAGATGAAAGCTTGCCTGTGGACATTGATGGTGTCAACCAGTGGTCTGCACTCAGTGAAAATGAACCATCTGCCAGATCCACAATGGTGTACAACATTGCTAATGACACCAGCAGTCTGAATGGAGTCTATGGATCTGTCAGAATTGGGGACTACAAGCTTGTCAAAGGTTTATATCATCAGCTGAATTGGAAACCCTTTGTGGAATGAATCATTTTTTTTCTAAAATATCAATTCCATTCAAAATCTAAACCATCCAAGTATCAAAACTTTTTTGTGACAAGGTTTTACCTGTGCTGTATAAAAAAATATTGTTCACCAGCAGTATTGTATTTAAATTATTTTTCAATTTGTATTCATGAAATACAGTACAAGTTTGTAGTTCTGAATATTTCTGAAAATATTACTGAATATTTCTGAAAATATTCTTGAATATTTCTGAAAATATTCCTGGATATTTCTGAATATTTCTGAAAATATTCTTAAATATTTCTGAAAATATTCTTGAATATTTCTGAAAATATTACTGAATATTTCTGGAAATATTCTTAAATACAGTATTTCTGAAAATATTCTTAAATACAGTATTTCTGAAAATATTCTTGAATATATCTGAAAATACTGTATTTCTGAATATACAGTATTTAGAAATTTGTATTTTGAATATTTCTAAAAGAATTTATTTCTGAGTACTTCTAAAAATTTGTGTCTCTGAGTATTTCTGAAAATATTCTTGAATATATCTGAAAATATTCTTGAATATTTCTGAAAATATTCTTGAATATTTCTAAGATACTGTATTTCTGTATACTGTATACAGTATTTTGAATATTTCTAAAAGAATTTATTTCTGAGTACTTCTAAAAGTTTGTATCTCTGGATATTCCTGAGTACAATATCCCAAAAAAGTATTTCTGAATCTTTCTAAAAATATTTGTAAATATATCTGAAATTATTTCTGAATACTCCCTCAAATATTTCTATATTGTAATTCTGAAAATATTTCTCATTATTTATAAGAATATTTCTGATGGAACTTTCGATCCAAATTTCCCTTAGACTTTTAACATCTAATATGCGTCTGATATGTCGAGTGCTTATTTCTGACGGGTTATTTATCTCACCATCACCAGGCTCCGTGAATTTCTCCGAACCCCTCGACGGCTGGTACGGAGACCCAAACGTTGCCGAATTGACGACCCAGGCCGACAAAGACCTCTACAACGCCACAGTGGACTACTTGAACACCTGGAACCTTGTGGGACCCATCATGGATGCCTTGAACCTACTTCCGAATGCCTCGATTCAAGCAGTCATGAAAAACGCTTCCGTCGTGAAATGCCGACTTCCGATCGCTGATGTCATCGTCTGTGATCCCGAAGTCGAGCCTTGCGTTTTTCATATTGAAAATGATCCGTGTGAACAAGTGAATTTATTGTCATCGGTTGTGAAACCCAGTAGTGATGTGTTCCTCAATAATAAGGTGCGAGAATGTTCCATCGGCAGGGACTCGATTTTTGACGAGTTGTTTGGGTTTTACGATGAGGTCTTGGCAGCATCCGGAAAGAGGAGGAATAAGGAGTATGACCCCGGAAGTAGTCCCAGGTTTCATCAGGATGTTTGGGTACCTTGGAGAGCTGAATGTTGATTTTAAAATATTAAAAGAAAAGAAAAAAAAGCAGACGAGACGAGTTGAATATTTTCTCGAGCATAGAAGAAGGGAAAATTATCATTCGTTTTAAAATTCGACTTGTGCAATTTTATTTCTTTAAAAAATCGACAATCATGCTGCAATGAATCCATTTCAAGGCGGAATTCGTTAATGGCAAACGTTTCAGCATACAGAAAAATTTATTTCGAGGTTGTTGACAATAGGTGGACAAACAAATGGTTGAATTTTTTTTTACTTGAAGTGTAAAATAAAAAAAAAATATTCTTTGAATTGACTTTGTGAAAAAAAATTTCGGAAATCCCCTCGAAGGCAAAATTTTTCAATGACAAACTTTCAATTTAAAAAAAATTTGATTTCGAGGTTGTTGAAAAGTGGAAAAAATTGTTTGATTTTTTTTTTACTTCTCACGTTCAATAGTGGAAGAAATTATTTTGTGTATTCACGTCGTGCAAACTTTTCATCGAAAGAAAATTGATTTGAAGGATGCAAGGTTGTTGAAAAGTAGGCAGAACGACAGTTTTTTTTTTGACTTCACGTTTACTTTTGGAAATTTTTATGTTGTGAATTGGAATTGTGCCTATTTATTTTAAATCGCCAATTGTAGAATGAAAGCGAAATTCCTTAATGACGGAATTTTTCAGCAGAGCGAAATTGTTTTCAAGGTTGTTATGAAAAGTGGAGGGTTGATAATTTTCTTTTTAATCCCTTTTGAGTGAAAATTTTTATATTTTCAAATTGCATTTTTTAACGTTTTCTGAAACAGCATTGCTTTTATAGGTTATCTCATGGGATCCTGAAAGTGTGTGTGCATTTATTGTGCAATGAAGTGGATCCCCTGTTGCAGGGGAAGCAGAGGCAGAGAGTTGATAGAAGTGGCTGAGGATGACCCATCATCATCAGGCACCACCCCCAGCAAAAGCCAAGCTGTGATGACAGCTATTCCACAATTGCCATCATGGTTGTGGAAAGGTGTCGCTGCCTGTCTGGGGATCAGACTGAAGCCTGACCAGAAGCCTATTCTTGCCACCATCTTGTACATGCTTGGGTTGTCAAGTGGTTTATGTGAGTTGTTCAACATGGACACACATGTTATTGCAAGGATTGGTTTGAAAAGAAAAAAATCTTGTCAAATTTCTGGTTTGTTAACCATGTTCAAACAAAAAAATTTTGTAACTGACACTGAGAGGAAAATTGAACTTTTCATGAATTTGCATGTCTCCTGATTGCTCAAAAAAGTTTAAAAATATTGATGGAAAGCTTCTCAGCAACCCCTTTTTCAGATATGATAAGCACATTCCAGTGGAAAATACATTTTGATATTTTCAAATGTTTTAATTAATGATTTGTAATACCGTATTTACTCGAGTACCACGCGCACCTTTTCCCCCAAATTTCAGAAGAAAAAAAGGGGTGCGTGTCATAAGCGGGTACAAAATTTTCAATAAGTTTTAGGAAATTATGTGTGCATTATACTTGATTATAATAGAGAAATTTTGAACAAATATAACAAAAAAACATTTTTGTATTGAAAAAGTTGAAAATTGATCAGATTTTTGTTAAATTCACGCCTAAAGTGAAATTTTTTGTTTTTATTTTTGAAATTTTATGGTTTTAGATTCACTAAAAATTGGGGTGCGCGTCTTACTAGTCAAATTTTTTGTTTTTATTTTTGAAATTTTATGGTTTTAGATTCACTAAAAATTGGGGTGCGCGTCTTACTCAGGGATAAGATTTCTGCAAAATTTTTAACTGAAAAACCCCTGTGCGCGCCTTACTTGAGGGCGCGTGGTACTCAAGTAAATATGGTATAATGCTACTATTAAATTGTTTCCTAATTATTAGAAATAAATTTCCTAATTGCAGAAGCTGCTGAAAAAAATTCTAAACAACTCAGCAGAGTCTTACTGTTGATTTTTGGAATAATCTCTGGGTTTTGTGTAATTTAAACTTAGAACTGCATTTTTAAAAATTGGCAATATTAGAATAGTTGTGAAAAATCCTTCATTTTGAATGAGGAATGTCATTTTGTTGATATTTTCACAGATGAAAATAATTTCCCACTGATGCTATTATTGAAAAATTTTCTCATTGAAATTTCAAACTGATCATGTGACCATTTCAGTTGACCATGGGTTGTTGTCATTTTGGTTGAAATTATGCATGCATTTTTACCCAGGTTACATTGCAGCCAACTTCTGGTTCTCCATCTTCAACACAGCTTCTCAGAAGACCAAGGATGATGTGGTGGATGGATTTGTGTCTGTGTTGGTCTCCATGTCCTGGGTGGCCCTTGGGCTTTATGCCAGGAGATTGGCCCACAAGCTGCTCAACAGCAAGCTGATTGTACCCCTCATCAGACTGCATGCAAGAACAGTTTTCAGGCTGAATGCAGCCTTGGTCCTTGCAGCATTGCTTTTAGCCTTTCTTAGTCTATCTATTCTCAGTGCTGCTGGGGTTTGGCAGGATGTCACATGCCAAACAGGTGAATCTGACCCATAAGATAATGAGCTATTTTAGTGTGTAAAATTTCTTCAATTCTCAGTCCATTCTTTTGAGAAATACTTTGGGGGTGCAGGTATATGAATGAATGAACAGAAAACTTTATTTGCAGGTATAATTTTTCTAAAGTTTTATGGTCACATGATGAGTTTTAGAAAAATAAGTTTTATTTTTCTAATTTAGGTTATGCTGTACTTCAATACTATTTGGAAATTTTGGACCAAGTTCAACAGAAAACGTTTTTAGTTGAAACAATTGAAAATTAGTACAGAATCATGCTCAACTTGTGTCTAAATTAAAATTATTATGTCCTTAATATGGATGTACTGCAGTTTTAGTGGCACTAAAAAAGTGCTCAATAATTCATTCTAGTGGACAAGTTTGGACCAAGTTTAAAAGAAAAACTTATTTTCACCCTTGGATGGTGGAGGTTTTGTGGCTGTCCTGTGGCAAACTTGGGATTTTTTGGGGTGTAGAGGTATTTCAGTTAGACCTGAAATGCCCCCAGGTTTCCAAGGCCTAAATTGGAAAAAAACCCAGATGCCAAAATTCCCATTGTCTCAATAAATCCCCAATGTCAATCCTATGCTGGGAATGCATGGAAAAATGCCAACCAAAGGAGGAATTTTTTTATTGAGCCAAAATTGTCTGCAGGATTATTAAAAAATAACACACTTTTGGCCATGGTTTGAAAACCATATTCTATTTACAGCCCTCATGGGAAAAAATTTTTGCAAAAATAACCTGATTATTCAGCACAAGGGCTTATAAAACTGGTTGAAAATTAGTGAAATTCATGCTCAATTTATGTGTATATTCAAATTTGGATGTTTTTATAATTTCAAAGTATTGCAATTTCAGAGTCACCATAGAAATGGGGTGTGTGTCTTAATTTGGAATACGATTTTATAAAAATTTCCCAGTGAAAAACTCCAATCTTACTTTAGTGCATGTGGTATTCAAGTAAATACAGTATGTATATACTATTTTGACAAAGTCATGATTTGTTTGCAGTTGATGTCACTGTTGCACTGTGCAAGATCAGGTTCTTGTCAAGACTGATCTTCAGCATGCTGTTTTTCTTGTGGAATCTGTTGGTTGGAGTGGTCATGATTTCACTCTGCAGGACACATACTCTGAGTGAGTGCGCCTGTTAAATGGCATTCTTTATTCTTAGTTTAATGAATGATTTTCCTGAAATTCATTTTCTTTCAGACATTAGAGCTGCCATAGTTATGCTTGATGCAGACTCAGCCACAGAATTGGAAGGTGAAACTGAAGCTAGGCCAATTGGAAAGTGTGGGAGAGGTATATGTGGCCTATTTTCTTTTTCTAAACATACTGCTTATTAATTTGTTCTTCATGTGTGAAGAAAGTTTCCTGAGACTGGATGAAGAGTGGTCTTCAGATGAGGAGAAAGAACAGCAACCACCTCCAAGCAGAGCTGTGAACCAAAGTAAGCTGACCACTGAGGAAATCCTTAATGAATTCTGGAAAGTGTCAGTGAGTGTATATATACAAGCTCTTTTTGAGAGTACTTTTTTTTTGGGAAATTCTGATTTCTTAATTTTTTCCAGAGAGAGTTGCATGTATCATCCCTCATGTTCCAGCAATGGCTCATGTCAGTCATTGGATTGACCATCTGTTGGACAGGTGAGGTCAAAATTTCACACATGGCAGAATATGAGTGTTGTCCTAAATTTGGTTGACCTTGGTTATTTATAAAATTTAGTTAACACTGTTGAAAATATATATATATATATGATGTATATCTCATGCTTATTGTAAGATCCTGGTATTTAAAAAAAAAATTTTTCTAAATTTCTTTAGATTTACTGCATGATGATAGGATAAAACTTTCCAGTTATGGCCAGAGTTCTCCACCCATGTGGCCATATCACAATAGGTGTTGAGAAATTTCAAGGCCAGGTAAATAATGTACAATGCCTTTGTTTTAAACATGCATTTATCTATGTATTGTTTAATTTTCAATTTTTTTATTTGATTTGCAACAAATTTAAATAAACATTTTTTGAATTTTTCCAAGAACAATGGTTCATTTTCTAATTTTTTTTTATTCTTCAGAAACATCATCCAAGGCCTCATTTTTAAATTTTATATGTATATCATAGGCATCCACTTGGTGTACTGGCTGAGACATTCACCATCAGTGTACCAACTTGGAGAGTTGTTCATCCCTGTACTTTTGCTGCCTCTCCTGACATCCAACTATGCACAAGTCAATACTGAAGCCTGCAGAATGATCAGGGTATATGAAATAAAATGAAAAATCACACTGCATGTGCATAATAATTAATTTTGAAAAGATGTGTTTAATTGTTTTCAATTTATTCAGAGCATCAGACCAACAAGAGAGCGATTGAACATCCTGCTGCACCTCAACTATGCTCCACCACAAATGACCATCTATGGGCACTGTTTGAGCTATGGCACCATTGTTACAGCAATCTCTGCACTTCTCTTGGCATTTTTCTCCAAGATCCTCTTGAGTGAGATAGCAGCTGCTATCTAATTGTGTAGTGATTTATACATTCATTCATTATTTTTGGTCTGAAAGGAAGCAAGTGTTTATGTCATTGTTTAGTAAAATTGCGGCATTGATTTCTGCTATGATTTCATCTGGAATTCCAGAGAGGCGCACATCCAGGGACTTGATGTTTTTGTTGGATTTGAGGCCTTGTAACACAGCCTGGCCTCCTTCCTGTTGAAGAAATTATATGGTATTTTTGTCTCTGATGTGAGAGAATTTTCCAGGATTATTTTTGAAAAAAGTGTGGGATATGTTAAATCTCTTAGCAAGAAACTTTTGGGGACTTCAGACAAAGTTTGTCATGCTGAATGATTTACTATGAAAATATTTTGAAAATTAATGACTTTAAGCAATTTTTGCAATTAACCTGCCTATATAATCAATTAAGTAGATCTTCCTTTTATGGTATTGTCACATTTTTCTTTGTTCTTTTTAAAATTGAGTGATCTTCTGATGAAGGAAAAAAGTTTTGGTACTCTCCTGTTATCTCAGTACCTACTTTCCTGTTATCTCAGTACCTTCCCTCTGACCAATTTAACCTGACTTCACCTAACCACCTCCAAAAATCAGTTTCTGCTTTCTTTGGGTTTCTGAAAATAATTCATCATATTTAAAATAATTCATCATATTTAAAATAATTCATCATATTTAAAATAATTCATCATATTTAAAATAATTCATCATATTTAAAATAATTCATCATATTTAAAATAATTCATCAAATTTATGCAATCAAATGTCAATAATAATACTGTACTGTACATAGCTCAATGTGGAATAACAGGAAGCTCTTCTTATGTACCCTGAGATTTGGGAAAGCAGCAATGTGGCTGGTGAAATCAACCACCCTGTATTCCTGCACTTCCTTAATATCTTGCTGCACAGGCTGCTCATCAGAGGCCAAAGAGAATGAGTCATCTTCTATAGCCACCCTTTGCACTTGATGGATGTTCAAGGCCTGAACATAGTCTCTGCAGAGTTTAATTATTTTTTTGCAATCCATTTCAGATCTATTCTGAATAAGCTTTGACCCTTGATGATCTTCAACTTCTTCCCATTCATCCACATACTGCTCTATTGCTTTGGCTGCTATGGTCTCCAGGAAACATCTCTTGTGGTTGTTGCCATGAATGGTCACATCATAACCCTGTGACACAATATCAATGTAACATATTAATTATCAGTGCAACACCTGCAGAGCACCTTCTTTTCTCATGCCCATTATTTCACACAACTACAGAAATGAGCTTCAAAAAAATTTGAGACTCCTGAAATTCAATGAAAAGACTCTTTCCAAAATCTTATAGGACTATAAGCAACCTTATAGAAAATTAAATTACTGTAGAATAATACAGAATCTATATATAGAGCCAAAATGATTTTGAATTACAGAGTTTAAAAATAAATGATTACTGGTTTTAAGGACATTGTCCATTAGGATGAGTTCATAATTAGAAATACAAATTAGGGAATTTTAACTCAGTGGTATTGACATTATTTTCTTCAAATAAAATATTCACAGGACTTACATTTAATTTTGCTTGACAAGTGGCCTTCCAGAAGCCTTCATTGTTGATGAGAGGCACTGTAACTTCCAGTGGTAGTTCTGTAGAGAGCAGTTTGACCACTTGTGTGGGGGACAGAGGTCGCCAGCCTCGCAAAAGTACGAGAATCCACGTTGGAATTCCAGCGGGGAATTCCAACGTGGACCAGTTTGGTTCAACCTCCATTTTCTCTTTTCCTATTTCTATACAGTCTCAGTTTGCTTCGCGAGCAGTAAACATCTATTTTACAACTTTGTGATTCGAAATATATTTGTCATCTTTTGCCTTTTGGAGCTCTTACCGAGGAGCTCCCTGCCGTGACATAACCTGACCTAACCTAACTTTACCTAACTGCTTCCCAAAATCAGTTTCAGCAGAATGCAGAAAAATAAAATTCACAGTTTCTGGTAGGTTGCCGTGATTATGAACTTGTCCTAAAGATTTGTCTGGATGGTAGTGTGGTCTAGGAATGAGATACTGAGATAACAGGAAAGTACCAAGAAGAGGGTATAGCTTCAATCATGCATTCCTTCATCAATTGCACCTATTTCTTTCATTTTGCGATGATGTGTGGAACAACTTATTGGAAGAATTTTTACCATTGATTATGCAGCTTTCATCCACACTAAAAGGAACAATCAGTCACATTTTTTTTATTAGAAATTTCTGACAGTGCCTGATGCATTATTTGGGACATTTCTATGTGGAGTTTCTCTTGAATGTTCCTTAAAAAGGTGTCTTACAGCAGCTGGAATATTGGTAAGTTTGTTATAATAACAAGATTGTTTTTACATGTACTCTATGGGATTTCTGCTGGGACTTGAGAAAAAGTTTGTTGAGCTGAAACATACTTGTTGTAATGAGATTTTACTGTACTTGATTGAAGTGGTTGCAGCTGAGGTCCAAGTGGATGAGATGAGGGAGGTTGCTGCTGAGCAGCTCTGAGACAAAGTTGCCAAGTTTGTGGGAGCAGCCATTTGCAGCCAGAGAAAGACTAGTGATGCGAGAACCTTTTCTGAGAGCCATGAAGAAAAATTGAGCTCCTGAGTCCTTGATGTCATTCAGACTGACATTGAGGGAATGAAGGTTGCAGTAGGGCAGAACAGCTGCCAAATGTTTGGCTCCTTCAGGACCTAAATGAATTATATGCAGTTTGCACAGTGCCAAATACAAAAGGAGAAGAATGGAATGGATGAAGGAGACAAAAATAAGTGTAATGATGATACTGTACAAGGGTTGTGTCAGTCTGATGTGACCTCTGATATTCTTGCAGGAGGTGATATTGCAAAAAAAAAAATCATGACATATAGCCCATGATGTTCTGAGGTTCTTGGATTTTGTTTTTGGATTTAAAAAATGTTTTTCAATTTAATGCACAATCATAAGTGAAAACTTTCCAGATAGAGCCAGATTTATCCTGAGCTGAAAATTGGAACTGTTTGTTGTTTTACCCATTATCTTCTTTACATTTTATATAAATAATGGTTTGAAAAAAAAAACAGAAAATTTGTGTGTGCTATAGCCTGACAAAACAGGCTTTTGGATCCTTTGAGATGGGTGAATAGAACTCTGGGTAAAAAAAAAAGAAGCTAAAAAGCATTTCCTTGTGTTCTTGCTTTACCATTTTTTTTCAACTGTGTTATAAAACTTCAAGTTTAGCTTTATAAAAGGGTTGAGAAATTATTTTTCAAATATATTCTTGACTTATTAACTGACCCAAAATAAGCAGTCTGTGTGAATCAATCTTGAATGACAAATGTTTCATACCTATTTTATTTTGTTCCAGATTGAGTTTTGTGAGCTTCAGATTTTTCCTCAGAAGTTTTCCCAGAGCCAAAGCACCATTCTGGCCTATTTTGTTTCTTGAGAGGTCAAGGGTTTGAAGAGAACTGTGGCCAAGCAAGGGTTCCAAGAATGCTTCCAGCCTTGGATCATCTATCCTACTTTCATACAATCTGAAAAAAAAATAATGGGATTCAAAATCTATTAATATGTTTCCTACAAAATCTCATGCATAGATTGAATGAGGACATATTCTTACTTGATGTATGTTAACCTTTGAAGTTTGGAAAATGTTGTCCCCAGATTTGCACAGTCAGCTTCAGGAAAGTCAAGTCTTTCCCAGCAGAAGTCAATGCCACAATCTTGTAAACATCTGAGTTGAATGGACTGCAAAGAAGCAGAGATCCTGTTAATTTTTTTTTTCAAACATGGGCTTCATTCATAGGATTTCAAAATACAGCATGCTTGAGAACTTCCATTTAAAAAGCTATTGCCAGCTTTTTCAAGATTAGGCAGAATGTATTGCATAATGTGCCAAATATGTTAGTTGGCAACCAAATGTAGCATAATTCATCTTTTGTGAGATAGTCAGCTAATGTATATGTACTTCCTTAATCAAAAAGCAACTCATCAGCCAGAAAAAATAATTTTTTTCAACAAGTGTGTTACTCATGTTTTGTATACTTGAAAAATCTGAGAATTGCATAGAATATCTTCTCTGCAGATGTTTATATACTGTATTCATCAAATCAAATATCAACTTTACCAACAACAAAAACTCATAACATTTGTCAAGTCAATCATAAAATTTGTCAAATGAAATGTCCAATTTTCAAGTCAATCATAAAATTTGTCAAATGAAATGTCCAATTTTAAAGTCAATCATAGGAGGTATGAAATGAGGCAACAAATTCATCACAGAATAAGTTATCAAATAACTCATCAAATTTGATCAAATCAAGCATCAAAGTCATCAAATAAATCATCAAAGTTATGAAACAAAACATCAAATGAAACATCATATTTAAAATAATTCATCATATTTAAAATAATTCATCATATTTAAAATAATTCATCATATTTAAAATAATTCATCATATTTGAAATAATTCATCATATTTAAAATAATTCATCATATTTAAAATAATTCATCA